GTCGGAGCCCGAGCCCTGAAGCGGGATGCCCGAAGGCACGGGCCAGACGCGTCAGAGCTCAGGCGGGGAGGAGGCGGGCAGAACCCCCCAGGCGCCCGCTGCCGCTGCCGCGCGCCTTGAGCCAGAGACGGTACTGCGGGAAGTCGTCCGTCTTAATGGAGAAGCGCTCAGCAATGTCGGCATTGTCCTTGTCGCCATACTCCGACACGCCGACGTCGCAGCTCAGCAGCGAGGCGGACGACTCGCCAACCTTCTTTGCGAAGTCCTTCCACGCGTCGTGCTGTGAGCGGCGGCGGCGGCGGGCTCACCACGATCGCAAGCGCACGGCGGCGGCAGGGAAGGGTGGGCCACCTCGTCGCCATACGCATACTCCTTGTCAAAGCGGACAATGACAGCGCGGGAGCCGTCGACGATCTTGTCGAACGTGGTGTTGTCGAGCTGGCGGGCGGAGAGGTGGGGAGAGATGGGGAGAGGTCTCTAGCTCGGGCAGGTGGAGCCTGGCGGGCGGAGAGATGGGGAGAGATGGGGAGAGGTCTCTAGCTCGGGCAGGTGGAGCCTTGAGAATGCCGCGGTCGACGTAGCCGAGCGTCGGCGCGAGGAGGAGAGAGACGATGGACATAGTGTGGCGTGGAGGTGGTCGTGTGACGTGTGCCTTCCCTGATTTCTGGGGGTAATTTTCAGTGTATGTAGCTCTTAGGATTTTTAAAGGCCTATTTCGGCTCTTGGGCGGCCGCCCTCAAACCCTATAGGGTTTGCGTTCGTCCGCGCGCGGCCCCAATGCCGGGCTCTGCGCCGGGTATTTCGGGCGCCGAGAGTGGCCTGGCCCCGGACCCACCCCCGAAGGCCGATGGCGACATGCACCGCGACCCATTCCGCCTCCTGGAGGCTGCTCTCAGACGTTCAAGCGGCGCCAGGCAGCGGCTCGGCCGCGCATCCTTCACACACGCCGCCACGACTGGGATGAGAGAGCCCGGTGTCGAGCCCTGGTGCGAGCTGCATGTGAGGGGCGGCTGTGGACAAAGCAGGCCTGCTTGATGGTCAAGGCCTTGGATCCAACGGAGGTGGCGTACGCGTTGGCCACGTCGTTGGCTCCGATGCCCTGCGAACGGGTAGGGCGGGTCTCGCTTCGCGCGCGGGGTCGGTAGGGGGCCGGGGCGCGAGGCGCACAAATGCGGTGAAGGTTGCAGCAATCGCGCCAAAGACAACAATCCACGTGTACCTGCGCATTCGCGGGGTTGAGACTTGAGATATGGGAGAGGCTGAGCCACGCTGTGGCGAAGGGATTGCGAGTGCGAGCGTGCTGTGCGAGAGGGGTTGCGCGGCAGGGCAGTGAAGGGCTGAAGGCGGCTGGGGGCGTGCATACTCTTCGAGCGGATCCATGGCGGAGTTG